TCTCTAGCTGTGACTTTTTATATTTGTGTTGTGTTTGAACCAAGCCTACTACTACTTGCTGCTTACCTACACTTGGGAAGACGAGTGGGAGTCTAGTGAGGCTCACGCTCATATATGCTGCAGCCATATTACGATGATAGTATAAGCTTACCCCCACATTGTCTTGATATCTCGATTTAAGCAGCTCTCTCTTCCAGACGCTTTATTCACAGACGGCGATACTTCTTCAACCTACATTCCCACGCAGAGAATAGGTATATGCAGCCAAGCTACATACAGTTACGTACCTTGGCTACCTACCTACATATATTAGGTATTCTTGTCAGCAGCGTAGATCATTAGCAATCCCGCATACAGAGTCCATCACAGGTTCGAAGCTGCTACGACTTTTTTTTTTCTCCGGTCTTCGCCAAGGGGGGATAAAGAGAGGGAGGAAAGGGGTCATCGGATTTCTAAAGGTCGGTTAAGGCAGTTAGTTAGTTAGTTAGTGTGCGGATATGGATGGTGTATATTCTTGGGTCCTTGAAGCAGGTGTGTTTTCGGCGAGATAACCTAACTATTTAACCTACGGGTTCTTTCTTCCTCCTGCCGGCGGAACCTATTTTCTACCATACCAAATTCTAATACCGCACAAGCGGTCGCAGGAGATGGGAGAGCGGGTAAGTAGGTAGCTACTTGTTTACTTACCTACTTACTTACCTTACCTTACCTACATATACAGACACGGATGCCGAGCCGATGGATGGATGGACGAAGGAATAAACTATATTCTTGGTATTGGTATGACATGCAGCGCGTCGAAGTAGCGGTCAGTCGGTAGTAGGAAGTGCGTATGTACGTTATATAGGTAGGTAGGTAGGTAGGTTATGTCGCACGCATGGCAAATAATCCTCCGGCGACGTATCTTTATTAATTCTCCGTGATGGTTGTCGGCGAGCAGAGGAGCGAAGCGAGTGGGTGAAGTTGGTGTTCCGGACACGTGCAGGGAGATAGATATATTTTATGTTGGGGACCAAGATAATAGGCTATATGAATAAATACCTTATGTATATGTGTAAGTATGTATGTATGTATGTATGTGAGGTATGCATCTCAAATCGCCGAAGTACAATACTATAATCCTCCAAGCATGCGGTGCTTTGCCTCAGCTACCTAAATCATCAAGACTTATTATTATTACGATGAAGCGTGATATGTCACATATATCCCAAACGTAGTGCAACATGCGGGAGGCAGTGTCTGCCCATGTGTATCCAATATATACAAGAAAAGCGCAGAGGTATTATACCAATATACCAAATGAGGCTTTCTCCTACTAAAAAGGGGGGATGGTTGGCCGGGTATGGCCGAGACATTACTACATATATACGCTTACTATCCCCCGCTCCCCCCATCGCTCCCCCCATCCGTGCGATACTACTTTGCAGCATCTCCCCCCATTGGCAGCAATGCCGGAGTCCGACGTCGCACGGCGACACAGAGGGAAAATGGGTTGCCCAAAAATCGAAGCCCAGGGCTTATAAATATATTCGGTCGCCGACCCGGCCTTCCCGGGCTGAGCATTATCGCCCGACTACCTACTTCACATGCCCATGCCCACTACATTCGTGATATCCCACCTTTGGTTCGGCCGTTTTGTGAGTTTTGATCATCTCTTTCGGTATGTATTTTCATGATCCCTTGCTCGGTAAGACGAATATTCGACGCGCACTACACCGTTCTTCTCTAGATCTCGATTTTATTGAGTAGGTACTGTTGTAGTAGGGCTAATCCCCTTACCCTTCTCCTAGATGAACTATACTAGACTCGATGGATTAACTCGTCCACCTTCCGGGGATAAGTGAACTGGACCGGCTACCTTGCTATTACCGATAAGGAGGAGCGTAGTAGATGAAACTACAACGCGAAGCAATCACTAGTCTCTTCCGAGATGGGAAGACCTGCCCCTAGGGGAATATGACCCTCACCGAAGAATACGACTCTTGAATGGTTGGATTACCCTATGATCGCGGCCACGCCTGCTCCCCCGGCAAACATAGCAGCCACGGTAACAAAGCTTGAGATGGAGAGAAGCGATATGCCGGAAATCCCATGACCCGACGTGCAGCCGCCTGCCATCCTCGACCCAACCGCGAGGAGCATGCCACCAAGAACTGCTCTAATGGGTTCGATGGTGATATCGGGTGTCACACGCGTCGTTGGTGATGCCAGAGAAACGGCTAGTGCCCCTGTGATCATACCTGCAGTGAGCGCAATAGCGCTGTGTGACTTCGGCCTATCTCTTTGCCCTACTGCCCACCAGAAATAGTCGCCCACTTCCTCGAAGGAGCTTGAAGTTCCTAGAAGAGACTTTCGTGTTACGATAGAAACCGTTTGAGCACCCGCGATCAAGATGCCACCTGTGACAGGACCCACCAATCCGCCGGATTCAGGGGAAGCAAGATAGACTATCGTTGCGACAGCACTCGCAAACAAGGTCTCGACCGCAACAAGTGCGCCTAGGTGGCTTGTGCCTGTCCACTTATCTAAAGTTAAGTGGTGGTGGCTTTTACCATCTGATGACTCTGTACTTGACTTCGCCCGGTTGCGAAGAGTCGGCTGCAGGAAACCTGACCAGATTATGCCGCCAAGTATCCCTCCGCCAAGTGTATAGAGACCAGAGCGTATACCAGCCCCTACTTGTGCAAAGACAGTCCCTGGGCAGGAACCAGAGATGGTCAAGCCGGCACCCAAAATCAACCCCCCTATTATGTTTCCATCGAGAGCGCCAAATATGCCGAGTGTCGAATAGTCTCGCGGGTTCAAGCGGAGGTAACCCAGCCGTTGTAGCGTGTTGACAAGGAGACTATTTTAGAGGTTAGTTATTTCTCACACCACGCCCTTTAGAAGGTAACCATGATTTTTTATCACAGAGAAATATAGTCTTACGTGCTGGTACCGGAAGCTGTTAGGAATGTGACGACCATGTGCCAATTCTGAAAGGTCATTTGCTCGACGATGACATCCGGTAGGTAAATCCCCGCTGCCGTTAGAGCAGCACCGAAGGCGACGCCAGATACGAAAGGTTTAGACATGTTCTCAGATACCAGCGTGTAGTGTCTTTGATGCAAAACAAATTGCTATTCCGTACAGTAGGAATAGTTAGAAAGGGTGGTCGAAGAATCGTCAGTGGCGGATTTGAACTTGAAAAGCTCGATAGTGTGTTATTATATTCGAGTCATATTGTATAGTTGAGTCGGCGACTCTAGGACTCTAGTCCATTCGAAGCTTTGTTTTCATCAAAGACCCTTCTCCGTTTAATCTAGACATCCTAGAAAAGGACCCGCAACGGATGTAGAGATGGGTACCCAAACACATAGTGACCTAGCAGCCAGGCAGCCCAGGAAACTTTCTCTTATTTCCCATATCCATGTCCTCCCGCTGCACAGGTCCCATATCGATTTCAACGGTCGGCGACGCTAGTGTAGCAGCATCTATACCATATCGATATATAATTCTATGCTATAATGGTGCCATATCGGCCTTCTATTTTCCTCTGTACGTTCTGACTGGATAGTTACTCTCCTAGATGGATGTTATCTGTCGGTAGTCCCATGCTCCCTTTCAGACTTGAGGATGGCACGTTATGCGCAAGGGGGTGAACGGATGGTTGCACGCGGGCGCCGGGGACTTCTACACGACTTCCAAATCCTCCTCGAATTATTTGACCCATGTTTCGAGAACGTTATTGTGAAACGCTAAGACTTTAGCACGAGGACCCGGAATTTGGAATTTGGCTCAAGGCTGATGAGTATATACGTATCGGCGTATATGCTGTAGTGGACGGCGATCACTATGAGTTAAGGGTATCGGGGATCTCGCATGGATCTTATCCGTGCGCCTCGCCGAAGTGAGTGGGGGGACATCCGGCTGTGAATTATGGGCCTTTTAACCTTGGACCGAATTACGGATCTCAGGTTTCCAGGCTCCCAGGTCGTGGACTCGTTAATTAGGTACTCTTCCTCGCCTAATTTATCTATAACATTTGTCTACCGCCTTCACGAATATGTGAAGTGAACATGTTTGCCGCTTTGCGTAAGAGTTGAATGAGCCTTCGCCAAGCTTGGTTTGCTAACTCTGAGATCATCGACCGTCGGTATTATGCAACCTTTGGAGCCAAACTAACGAACCCAAAGACTCGGAACCGTGGTTGATATTGATATTGCAGGATACACGTGCTCGCCTCGGTCGCATTACTATGTACGATAGCAAAGCCCGACTATGTAGAGTACCTGGTTACGGACGCCACGTCTCGCCTATTTCTGGAAATAGAACTTTGAGAAGACTTGGCAACGAAATCAAACAATGCCACGGCTGCCACGGTATTGGGTATTGACGATCACTGCCATAGCTAGGCCTGAAGAAATGAACCTTCAGCCACAGGGTTCAAGGAGCCGTGGCCGTTTTCGGACCTCGAGCCGAATGCGAATTCTAGGATATTGGCGATGATGTCTTTGTTTTGTTAGAAATGAAGTCTAGTTAATCCCATTGAGAGGAAGGCAAGTTTCATATGAACCTAGGTACCTAGGGTAACTTCTTTTTATGTAGCTACTCATTTAGAGTTACCCTTTCCTTCCAGCTTCGGATATCTCAATAATAAGGTACCCAGCAGGTGCAACTCCCTTAGCCTAACAAGTAACCTAGGAAGGTAAAGATGGAAGGCAAAGCTCCTATAGAAAGCGCTAAGTACCTTAATTTACCCCACCAGAATTACGTAGCTCAGACTAGACACGCATATAGAATTGCAGGTGTTCATTTATACTTACCTAGGTAGGCTGGCGGTGCCGAGGTTTTATACCACCCCGCGGGGAAAGATTAGCCCAACGTCGTAAATGACGTCCCAGAGCTGACAAATTAGAGCCGTAGAATAACAACTCTTACCCCGTTTAGATGTACTTAACGTAGCTCTATAGACCTCCTTACATGTTATAGCTTACTTATATAATATATAATAACTACCAGTTAGCATTAACTTTAGACTTTAGTACCTACTTATAGAGAACACAACTTTTAATAACCTCCCTTACGTCCATGTAACATACCTTGATTTATTTGATTTGTAGCACCTATGATAATACCTACCTAGCCACCATCGTGATCGCATAGCCAAGCCAACCATTAACAAATATACCCGCCCAAGATGCCACAGGCTCTCACCCTCAAAAAAGTCGACGGCAAGCCCGGCCAAGTCTACTACCCGTAACCCTCCCCCCCCTTTTCCATCCCATCCCATCCCATCACACCAAACTAACACTAACACCCCCTCCCAGCCTCCAAATCATCCAAGTCCCCAAGCCCAAACCCGGCCCCAACGAGGTCCTAGTCCGGATCCACACCGCAGCCCTCAACCACCGCGACTTCTTCATCCGGCAACACCTCTACCCGGGCATATCCTTCACCAACCCCTTACTAGCCGACGGTTTCGGCACCGTAGTCGAGTCCGGTCCCGGCCCGCGCTCCGCCCCCCTCCTCGGCAAGAAAGTCGTCCTAACCCCCTCCCAAGGCTGGACCAGCTCCCCCGCCGGCCCCGAGGACCCCGCAAAATTCAGCGTCATAGGCGGCACGACGCTCTACGCCGCCGGCACGGGCCAGGACTTCGTCCTCGTCCCCGCCGACGAGGTCGAGCTCGCCCCGCCGCACCTCTCCCCCGCCGAAGCAGCCGCCTTCCCGCTCGTCGGGCTGACGGCCTGGCGCGCCCTCGTGACCAAGGGCTTCGGCGGCGACGCTGACGTCTCCTCCGTCGCGGGCCGGAACGTTCTGGTCACGGGCATCGGCGGCGGCGTAGCGCTGTGCGCGCTGCAGTTCGCCACCGCGCTGGGCTGCAACGTATACGTGACGTCTAGCGACGCCTCGAAGCTCGAGCGCGCGCGCGCGCTGGGCGCCAAGGGCGGGGTATCGTACAAGGAGCCCGCGTGGGAGAAGCAGTTGGCAGCGCAGCTGCCCGCGTCGCGGCCGTACCTGGATCTAGTCGTCGACGGTGCGGGGGGAGACATTGTGGGCAAGACGGTGCGGCTGCTAAAAGTAGGGGGTGTGATATCCATCTACGGGATGACGGTCGGGCCTAAGATGGACTGGCTGATGCAGGCCGTGATGAAGAACATCGATCTCCGCGGCACGACGATGGGATCGCGCGCCGAGTTCCGGGACATGGTGGAATTCGTACGGAAGCACCAGATACGACCTGTCGTGAGCCGTGTAGTCAAAGGCCTCGACAACATAAAGGCTCTTGATGACTTATTCGAAGACATAAGACATGGGAAGCAATTTGGTAAACTCGTCATAGAAATCTCCTCGCCCGATGAAGACTCGGGCTCTAAACTATAAATCAAAGCCTGCCTAGGTTTACGAAGTAAACACGGCGTATTAATTAATGGTATCCTCTCCTAAGAGAAACCGTACAGGATCACCACCATCCAGTGATTCAAGTAGCCAGACAATAGTATTAGCTAGGTTTCGAGATGCTAATTACATGCCTAGGTATTTTTGTAATCATCGTTTTAATTTGTGCTACCCCCTGTTTTCAATCTCCGCCCACTCCGCGTACCAACAGACGCTGGGGGTATTTCACCAAGGTGGCTCGTAATAGTAATACAGTGACATGACATTCTCCAGGCCTGTGGTTATCGGAGACCACCACGTACACATTCCGTCGCAGAACTTTCGAGACGGAGCTAACCCCGGCTTCGGTAGGACCCTCGAGCCACGAATTGCCGTCCTTGTTCTTAGACTTTCATCTCCTTTGCTCCTAGTATCTAGGCTCTATCCATATTAGACACAGGGTCGAAAAGATCCCTCTCGCCAAACGCCGGCCGCCTTTCCTGTCATCACTGACGTACCGAAACCAAACCATGCTAGTACGTAAATAGGGTCCCGAGAAGAAAATATTCGATTATTAGTCTTATCATGCCTCGTCGTCTGATCGACCTTGGCCCTGCCCGCCACCGCCTTTTAGGTTTGGAGAGAGACTGATAGCGATCTTCCTTGGTGCGTTTCCCGCATCCCTAGCACTCGAGATGCTCCTCTTTTTACGAAGGACTCCAGATACGCCTGACGCGCTGGAACTGGCGGTCGAGCTATTCCGGCGCTTGTGTTGGACCATCTTACTTAGGTCATCTTCCTCGTCCTCTTCGCGTCGGCGTTTCTCGGACAAGCGTTCTGGTGGAGGCGCAACATCTCCAGAATTCTTGTCCGTTTTCTTGGGCTCATCATCCTGTCTGTCTTCGTCAGCCGAGAGTGCCCCGGCATCCAAATTCTCATCGCCCTCCTCGTCGGAGGCATAATCAACCAGAGGTTTCGCGTTTGATTCTCCATTCGTGGGTGGCGTTCGATTTCCTGATTTCGCCTGCAAGTCTTCTTCATCGTCGGACGTGTTCCAGTACTCTTCCTCGGCCTGGTCCATAGCGATGTGTTCCATTAACGCTCCGGTCTTAGGGTTGATTATATTTGGTCGTCTTCTCGGCTCGTCGTCCACTTCTATGAAGTAGTCCATATTAGCACTGAATCCCCCAGTCTGGTCATATCGCGTAATCAAGGTCCTGAAGAGATCCAAGTAGGTAAGCCTCTGAACCTTGTCTCGGTAGTTCTCAACAATATGCTTGACTAGGTCCTTGACGTTTTCTTTCCTGACGAATTCGAAGAATTCCAAGCATGCAGAACTGAGTAAATTGTCTCTCGGCATCGTTTCGATGAGGACGTCGAGAACTGGACCGATAACCTTCTTCTCTGACACATGTTTTACGTAGAATTCGTCTTGTAGACCAATCAGCTGTCGAAGGAACCGAATAGCAACTAAAAGAGGGTTAGCATTCCCAAAGCAAATACCTGGCATCTAAGAAACTCACTGAGTTTGAGGAATTTCTCAGGGCAACTGAGAAGTTGGCTGATGCGGGAAACGATATCGTTATTCAAGACAAAGAATTTACTGCGGTGTTGATGTTGACGGATAAAGAAACAGAGGATCTCGATAAGGTATGTGAAAATAGAAGCCTGCTGAACTGAAAACTCCATGTTTGTTCGACCTTCTAGGTTTATTAGGGGCTGGAATAGTCTCGAGGCCGACCTCTCGTAGAAGGTGTTAAGGAAGTTATCCTGTTGCGGGTCTGCACTCGGTGGTAATCTGGATGCGGCTCGAACTCCGTACTCGCCATTGGCCTTCGTAAACGCTTCCTGCTGTACTGGCGGACCTTGGTCAAGAAGTACCTTTAGAGCATCGGATATCTGCGACTTGACACCTAAATCAACTTCGACCAAGAGCAAGTCGATAAGCGAGTCTGTTAAAGGTGGCTGTTTCTCTTGAAGCTGCCGGTAGATCATAGCTCTTATCATCTGCGGGTCGTGATCGATCATGGACACCAGGATATCAGTCGCGCCAACTCGCACTGCTACATCGCCGTGTCGCAGGCCAAAGTTAATGACCTGAAGAAGGCCATTAGCAAGAAAGTTGTTGTACAGAGTCTGGCGGGCTGGCGGCTGCAAGTTTTTGGCAATAGCACAGCATTGCTGTATGAATAGTACCGCCTCCTTCTTACGCCTGGGATCGATTTGAGGGGACTTGAATATATTGAATAGCTCGGCGACGAAAGCCGCATTCGATTGGAGATGTTGTACGATATCGACCTGATTGAAGAAGATAAGTGAGTTCAATACTGAGAAGGTGTTATCATCCAGGATACGGGCTAGGACGACATCCTTTAAATACTGAAGCCGATACGTTTGGTGTATCTTCTTTAGTATTTGGATGTCCTCAATTTGCACGACCTCCTTAAATCGGCCCTCTCCTTCCAACCATTGCCGATGATTGGCCTTGTGGCTCGGGAAATCCGGGTCATATTCCAACGCGCCAACGACGCCAATTACACTTTCGTCCGATACGGCGTGCTCTATAATGCTTGTGTCGTTGAGAAGAATAATTATCTTCATAATATTGCAAAGGCGATGTAAATCATTGAGGCTTTCGAGGTCCTCCGCGTCGGAAACCAGGGGGATCAGCTTGCCGATATAATCTTCCGCCAGGACGTACTTGGTGAGAGCATCGCGCCCATTTACCGTTCCACTAAGTCCACGCATTTGCGATTCTATTTCGGCGAGGTTTGCCATCGAAGCTGGTGGGAGAGAAATCGGGTTTATGCCGTCCATGGCGAGATCATCAGACAGGCTGTCATCTACATGAGACCAGATTAGCGGTCCATCAGTGCATAGAGGCGAGTCAATATATATATTCACCTGGCGCATTCACGGACTGATATTGCTGCTGGATACTATTAATGAACTTCCTACAACATGTTTAGTCACTGTCTTTTTTCCCATAGATATATCGGAAGCGGGTGCATGCGGTTAGCCATACCATATCATGGCGCAACCTTCAGCCTCTTGAAAGCTGAGGGCCATGTCGACATTGTTAGTAGGTTCGGTCCAGACAATCAAGGTTTCTAAATAGATAGCCGTCAATAATCATGCACCTCTCAGCAAGTTTTTACGTTGAGACATTTGAGACATTGGCGTACCCTGCTGCTTGTGGAAGCCATCTTCTTTACAAATTCTCGTCTCGAGCAATACGCGATCCGGTTGGTCTTCAGACTCAACAATTACTCGTGGATCTCTTTGGTGGCCATCTTCGGACTGGAGGTAATGGCAATCTCCACGTTAGCAACTAGCAACTAGCAACGATAGAATACAGGAGGCAGGGAAGGGAGCCAATGCGATGGAGCAGTGAAGTTCGCGCAAAGCGCGTCGCGAGTTGAGGGATGCTTACAATGTTGAGAGCAGCGGTGCAAAAGCCTGTACCGCGATCGAACCAGTCATTATTGCGCAACTCGTAGACCTTTACTCGTTTCTTATCCGTCGACGGATGAGGCACAGGCTGTGCCGCCATCGTCAACGGTACGTCAGATTCGACGTCGACAGCCAGACGATTATACTGTAGAAGATCTGGTGCAAGATCTAAATGTTGTTGAAGGGATAATTCGGTGTCGGCCTGGCTGAGGAGGGTGAGCGCTGCCACTTTTTCCTTAAGATAGGCGCGCTAATTGACGGGCGCGCACGCGACAAATCTATGTTCGGAGGGGGGTGGCAAGGTGAAGACGGAACTATCGAATTAAAAAAGGGCACGCGCGGGCCGAGATTGAAAGCAAGCCGTGACGGGCGATTGATTAGGGACAAGCAAAGATGGGGCTTTGTGGCTCGTGGTGGGTTGGATGGGTGGATGGTGGTGGACTGTGGACAGCGGACTGCGGATGATGGAATATGGTTTGAGACGATGTGAGGCAACGTGAGATGTGAATGTCGAGAAAGCGTCGGGCTACCTAGTGTAGACAAGGCAGCGGGCAGCCAGGTTAGGATTATCCTCCCCGTGCGACAGGGTCTAGACTGCTAGATTGGTTTCGCCTAGGGTGGGGAGTACATATGTACTTCTTTTACTTTGGGGAGGGGGGGACGTGCTTAGATCGGACTGTGACGTATTTTTTTTTTTTTTTTTTTTGAGTACTCTCTTTTTTTTGGACAAGTCGCGAGAGACAAGACAGGAAGGATTGCGACAACAGAAGTAATAACAATGATAGTTAGGTAATCAAATTATAATAAAATCAAAACAAGAACAGACGAAAATGTAGGGAAGTAAAATATTATCAATAATCCCAAGTTCCAATGTATACAATGTCTACATGCCTGTTACATGAAGGTTAGGTCTGTATCAGAAATACGACCTGCGGTAACGGTAATGCTGCTGTGTTTTTTAAAGTCGGGATTTTTTGGAGCTTTCGGATTGCTGCTTCTTTGAATACTCATGGCATCTGGTCCGTGCGTGATGGAACAGCAGGGGGGCATACACTAGGTACTGGGAAATTGGGTACCCAAATACCTAAATATCTTGGCAGAGGGGCGCTTAGCAAGCTATAGGTACATGCTAAGCAAGTATTGTACCTAGGTAGGTACCTATTGATAAAATATAGCGTGGATTAGGTAAGATATAATGACTTAAATGCGCCACACATATCGAAACAGGTGTATACTCTTACCTCTTCACATCTTCATAGGTGTTTTCAACTAACTCTTTAAATCCCGAAACCCTCCATATTTTTTTCGCCCAGCGTAGCTAATTTGATCGGCAGCAATGTTCATACAATATGTATTATTATTAAGACACAGGCAATACTCAAGTTTCTAAATTTAGAACCAAGTACCTATTCAAAGAAGTCCAATATAGACGTCCTTATTCTATATGGTAGTACGCCGTGCTACCTTACCTTTGTCTGTCAAGTTGAACTAAATTTACAATACAACAAACTAACAACTAACGCCATTATAACCTCTCCGTCTATATCAGACTATTAAAAGCCTGGCGTCTGGAGCACGGGGTTTTGGTAGGAAAGTATCTTGGGCTGAATGCTTAGGCCAATTCTGCCGTAAATCCCAGTTCCGGTTATTGGTTGGTCGGTTCAGTCGACAGGTGCGAAGATTATGTGTCACCTGGTCAATTATTGTTGAGAATTGCTGCCACGAATTTCGTCGGAATTTCATGTGCTCCCTTGCCTCCAGCATTAAGGCGCGTAGTACGTCCAAAAGCCCGCGATATGCCTCGTCTGGGCCCCTCATGCTTGCTTTCATGGAATTTGCGAACACAACTCTTTGGCTCTGCCTTGCTTGTTGTGATAACTGAGTGTTGCGGCGCACTTCGTTCAAGTGATCTCTGGTCTCTGCCCGCATCAACGCCTCCCGCCAATGAATATAACGATTAATAAAGTCAATTGACCATCTGAATATCTCTCTAAGAGACGCCGAGAGATTGACCCAGTTCGAAAGATAGACTAGATATTAACATTAAAACCAAGTCGAAATATGGAGGTGGTCGTGAATTTACATACCTAATCGCCGGCCCTCCCTAACACCCAGCCGGTAAACATCAAAAAATAATGCCCTGTGTACAGGTGCAAACCAATTTGATTCGGCTAGTAGACAGTCGTCCTGTATTGAGGAAGTGTGAACGATCTCGTTGGCGTGGTCTCCAGCCTCTCTAAAAGCCCTCTGATCTGCTCTCATCCAGTGGTCTGGGTCGTCACGCAGGTAATGATTTAAGTATCGGTAACGAACTTCAGCCCATTTGTCAGCCCATCCCAAGACGCGACCCAGTGTGTGTGCTTTAGTTTCGTCATCTCTCAGGATTCGCCCTCGAAAGTGCTCGTAGAACATATGCGTTATCCAGTCTTCGAGATTGTTTGGATTTTGCCACACCACTCTCGCCAGATCAATAACAGCATCCCATTCTGCTATAAGAGTAGCCGCGTGGTCATTTCCTAGTAGCTTGGTTTCCGATATCCCAGCGTTTGATATTACGTAGTCTCGCCCAAGATTTTGCTTGCTTGTGAAGGCATTTCGAAGAAGAGGCAAAGCGTCCTGATCTTCGCTTATACCCTTAAGGTATAAAAGTAAGTTATAGCGATTCGCAGGTTGCGGTGGGCCTCTTTTCCCTATTCCTGCCGATGTTTTCCAGCGTGAACCGTCTGCTAGCAAATGTCTCGAACTAGGCGGCGGGCCATAGTTGACTATATGCCTAACAAATTATATTAGCCCACGTCTGGTCGTAATAGTTATAGGTTAACCTACGTTGTCTTACTAAGTGCGGGCGGCCGATCCATCTTGCCAGTGTTCCCTCGAGGTCTCTATAATGCTATGAAGAGAGCTCAAATGCTAATGTAGGGTTTTGGGAAGTTCCTAAATGCTAACGAAAAGAGCATGTTGCCAAAATAGAGGAACTCAAGATTTAGAGTTACTTTGAGTGTTCTTTATGCACAAAGGGGCAACTATCGAATTGTCCGCAATGGTAGCGAGGCGTCGCATTTGGTTAGTCTTATTGTCTAAACATCCGCATTTGACGTTGTACAACATTCTTCTATAATGAAGCTTTCAACATGTGTGCCATCTCCCGTTAAACAACGATAAACATCCCGGGAACTAAATCCTTCTTTAAGGCTTGAATCGTTAAAAACTGCCATACTTGACTAGGTCCATGCAACTCGTAGAGCAGTCTTTTTAAGCCCAACTCATAATATCTTATCCCGAAGCACATGAGGTTTCCTGTTGGTAACATCTTGCGGCCAAGGTAGGTATATGAGGATGGACATTTCTATAGTAGGTACATACCTCAGTATATGTGACTGTGGGGTTAGAGTATGTACTTTAATCATCTAGCAGAAGCTTGAATCATGTAAAATATATGTACCTAGATAAGGTCAGGGTACATGTACCTAATGCAAGGTATAGAGGTACTTTATCCAAAATACCTCCTTACACCCCACTCCTATATTCAACGCCTTAGCTCCCTAATATTCAACTTTTAAGGTGATAACTTCGGCTTCACTTATCTTTTGAGAATTGGTACTTATAGGCTTCAATCGCATCATCGTCAGCTATAGCCTTGCTATTTGACCGTGACCAGTAGCAATACTGGGTGTGGGCTGATGAGTTCGCTAATATGCTTGCCAATGTGCCGATGAGACACTGGAGGTATTTTGCGATCCCACGAGTCTGGATTCATATCATCGCATTTAAAGTGACCGCATGAGCTGAGGCAAGTGAGGTTATGAATCGTGCCCGAGTACGGTATAACAGTATAGGAAAGCCGATAGATGCCCACTTCTGTACGCTTGCAGCACAATTCCCCGAGGCGCTGGCCGAAATACGAATTTAAGGATCGTCTATGCATACCTGCTGCATCTAAGATGCCTTTCGCCGCACATGCAGACATGGAAATATCATTATCTCCAATTCAGTACTTTTCTTTGGGTATCTCTATGGTACCGAATCGCGTAGTCGATGCGACCTTACAAGATACCTTACAAGATAAGCAAATAGGCTCCGTCTCGTTGGAGTGGCGATAAATATTTATTTAGCCCTTTGAATGACTTCTACTCTTCGGCTCTAAATTTAGCTACCTTGTTCACACATGTAAAGTAGCTTCGATCTCTTCAAGGTTCTGGGATAAGCCCTTGTCTCTCATATTATAGGAAGTTCATACGGATTCCACCCATCGCCGTCGTAGCTTCCGGCGTTCCACTCCTTATTATTTACACTCTTTCCCTTCGACTCTCTTTACTAGACTTATTCTTAACTCTGCTTTATGTATGACCAAACAATCTTAGGCCTCATTCTTCCTATGATTCTCAACACTCGCTACGGAGGCATTATATTATCTATAGTGTTTTCCGACTGCTGCTCTAGTCCACCTACTTACCCTCGATGACGGCCATCGTCAAGTCGTGTGATCTATAGCAAGGCGATAATCGATGCTGATGTTGACATAACTCGATCTACGTTCGCAAATCTGGGGACTACGTATATATTACTCCAATCCGACAATCCTGACACAAACCCGGATTCGCCATGTCTCTGTTTTCAAGATTGAAGCGACGGGTACGAGCTAAAGAGAAAAATTCAAAAAATGAAGAGAAAGTGTCAGAGAAGGCGAAGGAGGAGCCTGCCAAGGTGCCTTACAAGCATGTAGTTACGCATGCTGCTTGCGATATGCTATTAGTAGCCCCTGCGAGCGCGAGGGAAGCAGATAAAGCCAGGATAATCGAGCTGAACATGCGAAATATCGCTCTGGAAAGATCGGAACGTAAGGCGGCTGGTATGCCACGCGGTCAAGACTCGCTATCCATCCATAAAACCCCTGCCTTTCCTCTACCTAACAACTACAAACCCTATAGCGCAGATGACAGGTGGTTCAACCCCAGGTACTACCCCCCGGAGCTAGTCGGCTCCCAAAAAGGTCCCAACAACTTGAATCGCCCTGAAAGCTTAAGAAGCGGCAAGGGGAAAGAACCGGAATACATACGTTCCCCCTCGTCTATACCACCGGTTCCGAGGTTACCTGTTGGGCAGTTCGGCATTACGTCGAGCCACGGTAAAAGTCTTATGCTGCAGTATACGTAAATCCTCTCTAATTGTTAAACAGGTGCACCTCTTGACGAAACATCGGTAGTATCAAGCACTTCCAACGTTGAACCAAGGATAAACAACAAGGCCATCAACCGTCTTTCGCAGAATTCTAGCTATGAGCCAAGCCTTTCTCAGAAAAGTATCTCGTTTAGCGAGAAGTCGTATCAAACGCCTCTCACAGGTACCTCTCTAATAACCATCGGGGCGCCTGTGAAGAGTGATCGGTACTATCCACCTTCGACTAAAAGTGCTTATTTTTCAGCATCTCATACAGCGAACCAGCGGACAGAGAATCAACTAAGTAAACTAGAAAATAAAAATATATCCGGTACGGAGATAGCCATCCCGCCAATACCCGCTGTTCCCCAGAAAGTTAATAAGAGCACTCCCCCGGCGAGTAGCTTTAACGAATCCTCTATCAAATCTATCGGTCCTGCTATTGCACCACCTCGACCGCCTTGCATCGTGGCCCCTCCACCTGTGCCATGTTCTACGGAAGAAGCTACTGGTTTAGAGCATACTACTAGCAAGACAATCACTGCCAGCGGTCCCTGTGCGAAAACGCCACAGAAAAGTTCTGTGGAAAAAGGCAAAGCTCCTGCAGATACGACGGTAAACGATCTCGAGGAACAAAATGCGGCGGTACCTTCGACTTCGTCCCCACAAATGAAAGCACGCAGGCTGTCCAAATCTAGACCATCGAGCAGCGGCAACGGTAAGTCCAGGCTGTCGATCGATGCATCACAGCGTAGCCGGTCGAATTCAACTGCCCCCGGTGCCACTGCTTCTGAACTCGATCGAGCGAGCCATACAGCCGAACCGAAGACCAGCGAGACGAGTAAGGGGTCGTCCGAACCCACACTTAAAACAGGAAAATTGCGCAAGAAACCGAAAGAGAAACGTCAACGGAGAAAATGGTGGACCTTTGGATGGCGGTCCACTACGGAGGTACACTAGACGAAGGCTTACCGGTATTCATTACGGGTTTATACATAGCAGCAATGCATCTGCAAATTGTTTTTTTATCATGGTATATATTATGTATTTCCTAGCGGCATGGGATGGTCTCCCGAAGCGTATACCCGTACATTCTGCAGTTATAGATCTACAATAATCATGAAGCATTACGAGGTGTTCGATGTGAGTTATCAAGAGCGGATAGTTGTTTCTGGAGTACGGATCGACACGGGTTACTAGACGAAACAGTATAATAGCTATTACGGCTTCTGGTCACGAGGTTGCAAATTATATATATATATATATATATATCGATTCATCCGAGACATGCTATTCGTAGACGCTATTCGCAGCTATTTATCTCGCAGTCTTAGTATGAAAAAGAAGCTAGCTCTCCGCCGCCTAGAGCAACTCGTAACGATAGCCCCCTCCATCGAAAATGGGGGAGGTCGGGACGTCCCGAACGTGTCACGCATGGCATCTGCACGCTAAGATGCATGATGGATGGTTGATATGCGCTGCCATAGGCCGAATGTAACCTTGCCCATGCGGGATCTAGAATCTGACCCGTTCTAATCTAAGTTTGGCAGGTTTCTCCTAGGTTGTGCGTCCGGAGAGCTATCGTGGCGCATGTAGGTAAGCCGAGAGACATGAGCTGACGCTAGAGAATAAGCAGAGAGAGATGGATGCCGGTAGCGCTGGGAGGAACAGTAGATTGTGAAAATCGGGATATATCACGGCCTTGGGGCGTGTGTCTTCGGACTTAGAGGATGCTGTTTATTCCTACTGATGAGCGACTAATGCTGTATAAGCGACGATAGGCCTAGCAACGATATAACCAGCCTTGGCTGATTGGGGGAGGATAAAATCGCCAGAACGACTCTCGGATGTCTACCTATCGACGTTGACCAATAGCGCCGCGACCAAAATAAACACAAGTCTACCCTCGTAACCCGTAACGCGGATGACCATTTCCTCTGCGAGAACTACTTACCTATCATATATCAGATCCTCGAGCCAGTAATTCGATCGTTTGCTACCGTAAGCAAGTCAGTCAGCTCTCAATCAATCCTACGCGACCCCCCTCTCCCTCCCCTTCCCAACAACCATAACAATGACAGTTACCAATGGCAGTCAACAACGAACGCCAACGTCAGGCCGCACGTCGGCGCTAAAAAAATGGGGATTTCGTGGAGGTGGCTTATGGCGAACGAATCGAAGCCAGATCACGCCCCGGGGAATAGGGGGTGTGACAGAGTAGGTGTCCAACGTCGATGGGGAAGAAATAAGCCTTCGCTTAAGGGTGATCGATGGATGCTTCCTCATAGGACTAGGACCGGGGTCGTCTGGCTGATCAGTACATACATACATACATAGGTATATACCTAATATAAATTACCTTCGTCATGTCGCGCTTGGAACTGACTACTTCGCGCCGGATTTACCTGTAGACTGTACTACTCTCCGTGGGGGTCCAGTTTAACTAACGGAGGACGAGATAAAGCTGCCGTGTATGCGTGTAATCACAAGGCCCAGTAAAATCATGTAAGATGTCTTCTCTGTAGCCCCCTTTGGTTTGGGCTTATGATGCCTGACAAACTGTTTACCACTTAGACCACGATGTTTGCTTTTATAGTATCTTAGGTACCTAATTCAAGGTAACATGACAACAGCCTGCTGCTTGCAGCCATCGGTTTGCTGCACTTTGAGCCAAATATCGAAATAGTCGGGAGGCCGCATGCGGTTGATTGCATACGCCGTCCTAGGAGATCTGCTTGAATATTGCTATTCCCTGTCTTGAGACCAGAGATGAGACTTCTACTGTAGCGGCAGCGGATGAGGTTCTTCTTGCTATTTGGTGGGTATATATCGACCGTGATATTAGGTGGTATAGTATATAGTTTTATTCTCTGCGTACAAGTATTTGTTTTAAAATCATGCTCCACCGTTCTTTTGACAACCCCCTTTTATGTCATCCTTGAGTATACCCTCCTTTTCAACTAGGCACAGTACTATTATCCGTCGAATTCGAACTAATAATCCACGCCAAAAGCGAATTCAGCCCATCGGCAATACGATCCTCGCCCTCGTCGTTGGGGTGTATGCCGTCCTTTAGGAAGGCATTCGGGAACGGGTATATATCGTTAACGTAGATCGGCGACTCGGTTTTGTTCTGCTCGACTGCCCAGTCCGGGATCATGCCATTCAGCCTCTCTACGGGGGCCATGTTTGCCGGCAGTGGAACTACGGTGTTGACCTATGTATTTGGAGATTAGGTATCTTAGCATTGCGTCTCAAACCGGCTAGCTGTTAATTTAGATAGAAGACAGAGAAGCTTACGATAACCTGTACGTGGTCGTTGTACTGCCGCATTGACTGCACCATATTCGTATAAGCCTCTACGACATCCTCTAACCGTCGGCCCCGAGCGATATCGTCCGTACCAAGCATAAACGTGACGATGTCGGGCTTGGTATTGTTGAGCCACCCGTCGATATGATCGTACGCTACGTCGATCGCGAGGTAACCCGTATGACCTTCGTGGTGCTGCTTACCAAACTCCTCGTCTTCCGTATCGCAACTCTGAGTATTGTTCATCGAGCCGACGAACTCGATCTTGTCCGTCAAATTATTTGCTTTTAAGTCATTCCATAGCTTCGCCCTCCAACAAGTGATCTCGGTTATGCTGTCTCCCAATGGCACTTTTCGCTTATAAGTTAGGGGTATATTTGGTAAAAGGGGATATTGTAAGTTGGACCTCACTGATCTTTAACTTCGATTGGGAAAATGCTGTGCCTATTAGGCAAGATACTGAGAATAATCCCCCGAATTTCATAGCTGCAATGCCTCTTTGAAGACGAGCATTTATCGAGGGGAATTTAATATCTAGAAAGGGATGAAGATACCAAATACTGATTTACAATATGGCCAGCTCCTCAATCATGTGTTTACCTATATGTTGACATCTGTCCTCGGCTTGAGAGACAGCCAAGTAGCCATTTACGTCCGAGACTGGCGGTCTCACCACCACATCAAACCTCCGTGGGTCTCCGAGCATCCAAACTGGTAGTGATATTCAATCGTCATATTATCTGGAATAAAAATTTGGCTACTGGTGATTTATGTGCGGGGTAGGTAAGCACTCGGATGAAGACATTCAGGGGCCATTGCCTCGATGACATTTTGTATATAGCCTGAAAGAGGGAACATGGCCACTGGGATGTACCACAATAAGGTAGCTTCTCTACAATAGTGCATACCTTTAAGTACTCCCTTTTTCATATCAATATTTTGGGCAAACCAGGCATCCTGCGTCACATTTATAAATATACTTTAGGTAAGCTTCATTGCATTGGGTACTTGAGTTAAGTATTGGGATGTATCGACTTTATAGGTTCGTATTGACTTCATAACTCTGGTATGCGAGTGTGAGATGGTGACTGGGTATATATGTAACAACGCTGCTAAAGATCGCTATCATCAAATGCTCGCACGTCGGGGCGCCATTGTCCTGCGCAATGCCTTCTTTGCCTCAGTTTCTTCCACTAATGGAAGCACGCCGTCCTCCTTTAGGCGGTCAAGATATTGCCTGCCAAATTTATACCCTAGATCATAGATTTCGTCAAACCTCCCGAATTCTAGAGTCCCATATTCATCGATCGGCGGGCGCATGTAGAAACATCCCGGTGTCGTCTTGGCGCGCTCCAGAGCGTCTACGCTCGATACGTAGGCTAATCGAGCTTGAATCTCCGCCAGCGTAGGGGGGTTTGGAATGCTCGAAAAGGGATTCCATCGGTTGAAGAATGCCCAGAATCCCGAGAGCGAATCTCCGTAGCATTGAGGCGTATCGTCATCTATGGCGCCTACGTCGATGGCAAAAATAACGGAGGCACCAAGGGACTTCATATGGGACACTGTGAGGTTGTCTATGTAACCACCGTCCAATAACATACTGCCCTCGTCACATAAAGGTGGGAGTAGACCAGCCAACGACATAGATGCTCGCACATATCGCCAAGCATATCCACTAGTGTGGAATTCCTGCCTGCTCTTGCTGATGTTCACGGTATTGCAGTAATACTCTAACCAGAAGTCTTCGATCTGGTGCTTCCCAAAAGTCTTGAAAATGCCGCGATTGAACTCATGCCCTGTTGTGTACGACGCCGACGGATACGTCAGATCGAACGCAAACCGCCAGACGCTTGCCATCCTCCCGGCAAACTTTTTAGCTAGACCAAACATGGGCACTACGTCAGCATGGCGTGCGTAGAGGGCCCCAATAAAGGAGCCGATCGACGTGCCACCGACGATATCAATAGGAATGCCGGCCTCTTCCATTGCTTTGATGACACCAACGTGAGCAATACCTCGGGCACCACCCCCTCCGAGTACAAGACCAATAGACTTGCCACAAAGTCTTCTGGCGAGTCTTTGGAAGTCGCCTTTATAAGGGGCATCGGGTGAGTAGTAAGGCCTTTGTCGTATCTTTTGAACTGTGTACTTCTGTATCTCAGCCTGCAGAATTTGTACTCGCTCTTTTAAAGTTGGTCCAGCCTTCCTAGAGGGCGGATGTGTGGCAACAGCGTTTGACTCGAAGGCCATCTGTAAATGGTGATGCCCTCCATTAATCCAGACGCGGTTTCTTAACCAGGCTCTTGTCAGACCAGGGGGCGAATAGCGCTCAGTGTGGAGAAGAACCAATGTTTTGCGGGCGGTTGACTTCATGCCAAGCATAAATCGTTCATATTCGCCAATCTCGGGGGATCCTTCGGCCAGACCTACGAGCAGAATGCAGTCTGCTTGTGTGATACAGGTCTGGGTCCAAGGTGCTGTCACGCTCGTATCTAATAGTTCCAGTTAGAATTGGGTATAACTCGAAGCTCAAAGTAAACAGAGAATTTGTATGTTGTGGTCAGGAAAAAATTAGAGTTTAAAGCCTTCATAGACGGCGCTCTGGGTGTGATTTGCTCATCATACCAAAGGAAAAAAGGAGATGGATAAGGAACAAATTAGACTTACCGGCAACGTAAACAACTAGTCCGTACTTCTCTTCAAGATCGGCAAGATAATGAGCTAGCTTCAGCTTTCCCATTTTATTGAATGCATGTTTACCAAGATGGCTGAGAATTGCGGCTTGGTTCAGCGAGGTGGCACCGTTCGGTGTGCCAACTTGTGCTAGGGCATTCATCAGGCGGTTTCCAAATTCAACAACTGGAATACCCGACCTAACTGGAAGGATAGCAACAGTCCTTATGTTCAACGTCGATGAACTCTTATTAATGGATGTGCCAGAAGTCCCGTCCGGGAGATTTGATGGATCATCGACCAATAACCGCATCCGAGAGGCTATGATCTTCGAAATTTTGATTGTGATATTAGGATGCTCTTGGGCAAGGCTGTTGAACAAGGTGCGAGGAAATTTGACAAGTTCCGTCGCACGGATAGCGTGCAGAGTTCCAGAACGGGTGGATTCAGTCATGACCTCCAGTTCACCAACACTGTCACCTTGGCCGAATTCTGCGCGAACATTCATCCCGCCATCCTTTCGGTCTTCTACTAATCGCAACCTTCCGTTGAGAACAATATAAATAGCCTCGCTTTCCTCATCTTTACGGAATAAGACTTGCCCGGCATTGACTTGGACCCATTCAAGGGCAAAATCAATATGCAATATGAGTCGCGGAAGTAGATGCGTGAGCCTCTTTGCCATGGTTAGGAGCATAATTGGATATTTCTCTACAATCTTCTCCAATGTTGCTCGCGGGATGAAGCCAACGTATACATCCGTTTTTGCAACCACATCGATGAAGGATCTGAATGAAGAAATCGTACTAATGTAACCCGCAAGACCGCCGGGTTTCACGAGTCCTACTCGGCGGCGTTCTGGTTTCGCACCCCGTTTCAAATCAGATGTGCTTTTGTTATCGGACTTCTTGGTTGGAGCGAAGGATGACGGGCGTCGAGCGGCTTCTTCGGATTCCGCCCTATGCATCGCCGTCGTTGATGTTCTACTGGATGAACTCAGGATATTGCTTCCCGAGTCTTCTGCGGGGACACAAATATCGAGGAATCCGTCAATGACATAGTAAAGTCCCGGACTTCGCTCCCCCTGCTCGACTAATACAGAGCCCTGTCCAAAGAAAACAATTTCCACTTCATGCTTCATATCAGCCGCAAGAATCTGGGCGTTCGGCGTGCCAGTCGATGAAATACCGCCGGAAGTCATTGATTCAGCATCCCAATCAGCCGAGCCATCAAAAGGATCCATGAACCCAAACGCGTTACTGCTAAACACAGCTTTCTGCCTTCTTTGATCATACGAGACAAGCCTCGGGGACCCTTCCGTAGATTCCGGCCCCCTAGATGAGGAGCCGCTGCTGCTCATGCCTAAGGCTTTGAAAACACATTCCAATATAGACACTCTGAATAAGTTGTCCTCATCAACAGACTCACGAGGATCGATCGATAAACGAGCTCGTTTCTGGGTAGCGAATGGGTTGAAAGTACGCCGGGCGAGGGGACTTGCGTCTGCACTCTGAAAGGTATTTGGAGTCTGGAAAGATTCTGCTATGGGTATCTCTAAGGTACCACTTGATCCTGCTCCCCCACTGCGGGCTAACTGGACGTTGGCTAGCAGGTCTCCAGGGCTGGGAGTATGAATCGAGAGGCGTTCTTGTGGCGGCGCAATCGTAGATGCCACCACAGACCGAGGTCTAGCACGACTCATTGCTTGCATGGCTGCCTCCTTACGTAGGCCCGTCGAAGACCTACGTCGGCGGCTCGTAGTGGATCCATTATGCAAAGCAATTCCTTTACCACTTTCCTCTTCGCCGGCTCTTTCCCTCTCCTGCTTAAACTTTTCCTTAAGACGTTCTAAAGCATCGCCTCGAAGAATGTTTGGTAGCTGGCAAGTGGCGTAGCGAATCATATTCTTTTCTGTGTGAAGAACTTCGTTGGTTAACCCGAGATAATTGTATGCAGTAGCGAGAGTGACGCGCTGGAATCTAGACAAGATGACGTGAACGATATGAGCAGTTGCTTTAGGATAAACCCGAATCAGCCGACGGAATGCACTCGCAGGTATGATCGCGATAGTCGTGTCGACTGTCGCCCTTCCAATGATATCGGGATGGACAGAGGTGGCTGTCCTTTTCATAGCAGGACGAGTGCGGCCCACTTGCGGTTCATCTAAGGAAATAGGGGGGATATTTGGTAGCCTAGGTCGAGTAGGAGAAGATGGCGACGTGACTTGAGACTCATCAACCGGGATTAGACCACCATGAACTGGGTCAATATCTGAGGTTTTAGTTAAAAACCCCGTCATATCATTCTCATGCGTAAAACTGCCGCTAACTAAACGTTCATGACGAGAGCGACTGTTGCTACTACTAGGCTCCAAATTATCCTCAGACGGCGACTTGAGCTTTACATCTTCTGTAAATAAAGACATTATCGAGAAGAGGGATGACATAGGGTTGCCATTCCGCACCTCGGTCAGTAGCTGATATCGTTGCTGACCAGGGATGGATTGCTCATCGTCCGAGAAAGACTGCGTCGGGCTCTCATCGAGCCCAGTAGATGGGGATGACTGGTTGAGGTTAGAAGACTTGACAAAGATCTCAACCAGCCCGTCTACAACAATACAAAATCCTTTCTCCTCTTCTAGGTTCAGCGTCTCGCCAGCGATCAGCTTCCTGGTTTGCATACTCCTGGTCAATTCATGAAACACAGGGCGTTCGAGATAACCAAAGATTTTGATAGCGCTAAGAAACTCGTCGAGATAGTTGGTTAAGCCAGGCTTAGCACCTTCTTCGTGGCTCTCCGGGAAAATATCCAGATCGGGTTCTTTACGCTGGGGTTCTGGAGGGAGACGAGAATACATGTTCAAGTATCTATATCTCACAACCCAAGTGACCGCAGCGAACATGAGTAACACTATCAACGCCCTATTTCCAAATATTAGTACATCAAAGCTACGAGGAGCAAGTGGAACCATTACAAGGTCGTGGCATTCATCGTTACTGTCCAGCTCGTAGAGAACAAGGTGAACAGCAACGTCGGCACAGATATCGTTGTCAACTTAAGGCTCCAGTATAAAATTGTCGAGAGAATGTGGAATATGTAAAGAACGAGTCTGGCGATGAGCCCAAGCCACGAAGAAGAGCCCTGGGCATCCGCAACATCGTTTACTCTCGTAATAGCCGAAGCAATAGCAGCTGAAGAGCTATCCGCAATAGTCGCTACGGCTTGCGAGAGAGCCGTCTCAACGGCGGTAACACTGGACGGATCCATAGTTGCTATGCGTATATATGCGAGGGCCTGTGAGACCTCTGAAAAAAACAAAAAATCAATACTTCTACCCGATGGCTAGAGTATCATGATGAGTGCATCATCCTTTTGCACCGTCGAAGAACGAGGATTTAGCTCTGTCTGCCGCGTGGCTGGAGCTGGAAGAAGGATTCCAGCGAATTTGCGGCTTTAGAGACATTTGGGCTAAGTAAATGGTTGAAAAGTAAGAGTAGAAAAAGCAGAATTATTAGAGGAAAGAAAGCTCCGAAAAATATGTGCATTTGGTGGAACTTCTCGTCGATTTCCAAGGTGCTTAGGTGGGTCCCCTACCACTCGGGCCACTACCGTGAACACGGCCTGCTATTTCTTCCGCCCTCCGTGGCTAGCGGCTAGCAGGCAAAGTATCAATTAGGTTAGGAGGATGTACCTAAAAGTTGGAAGGCGTTGATTTTGGGCAGAAGAACTGGAAGAACTGGCAGGTGTAGCCAATTGCCTGCCTTTACCAGGTACGAACCTTCGCACCGTTAACCCCGCCAAAAGCATTTGGGTGCCACACCCTCTGACCCCACGCTCAGGTCATAAAGATTTCCATCATTGACAAATTTGTGACTCCCTGCACAAGACGAAAATAATAATTGATATACCAGCACCAACATAGTTCGCCACATCGAAGCGCGCAATCCTGACAACAACCCAAGGCCGATTGTCAAGAAACTGTCGGCGAAGGAAGCATCATACTGGATTTACGAACCGCAGAGAAATTTTAAACCCCGCCTGCGCGCGTACGATCTTGGGCCCATCAGACATTTTTAAGATCTAGTATTACTATTTTCGCCCAAGATGTCGTTGACAAACTGTCGCTTTTACGAGGAGAAGTATCCGGAGATCGATAGCTTCGTCATGGTCAATGTGAAGCAGGTTCGTACGCCACCATCATACAATACCGATTTTGCCTAACTCAACTTAGATCGCCGATATGGGTGCCTACGTCAAACTCTTGGAATACGATAATATCGATGGCATGATTCTACTATCTGAACTTTCAAGGCGTCGTATTCGAAGTATTCAAAAGCTAATCCGGGTTGGTCGCAATGAAGTCGTGGTCGTCCTCCGAGTCGATAAAGAGAAGGGTATGTGTGGCAGCAAGAATACATACAATGACGTACGGACAAACTTACTGATGGGTGTTAGGATATATCGATCTTTCGAAGCGCCGAGTTTCTCCTGAGGATATCGTCAAGTGTGAGGAACGATACAACAAGAGCAAGATGGTCCATTCCATTATGCGCCATGTGGCCGAGAAGACTCAAACTCCCATCGAAACCCTATACGAGAGCATAGCTTGGCCATTGAACAAGAGATACGGCCACTCCATCGACGCGTTCAAGCTCTCCATAACGTGAATATTTCAGCACCTAGCATTATGACTTCCTTGCGGCTAACCCGAATTTTAGGAACCCGGATGTATGGAGCGATATCACATTCCCGAGCGAGCCGGTAGCGGAGGAACTGAAGTCGTACATTGGAAAGCGCTTGACGCCTCAGCCTACGAAGGTTCGTGCCGACATCGAGGTCACCTGCTTCGAATACGATGGAATCGATGCTGTCAAGGCTGCCTTAAGAACGGCGGAGGCGCGGAATACCGAAGAGAACCAGGTGAAAGTGAGACTGGTCTCCCCGCCGCTCTATGTTTTAACAAGCACGTGCCTGGACAAGAACGTTGGCATAAGCCGACTGGAGGAAGCCATCGTGGATATCCGCAACAGCATCACCGGCGCAGGTGGTCAACTCGTGGTCAAGATGGAGCCTAAGGCAGTAACGGACTCGGATGATGCCGAACTACAGGCGCTGATGGAGAAGCGCGAACGTGAGAACGCGGAGGTCAGTGGAGACGAGAGTGTTAGCGAGAGCGATGACAACATCCCCGTGACTGTCTAAGCTATCCTATCGTTCGACTTTGGTTCATTTCAATTAGTTCCACCACAAGGGGTGTACGGCTAGGTAAAGGGTACCAACCTAGAGGTCTTTGACATTCACGGGTCATAAAAAGTACCTAGCATGCGAATAGAGCATTTTGTTTTTTTCGGAATGAAGTAAATACTCAAAAGTCGCTGCCCCTGTCTTCGTACCTTGAAACGACTTAGGCTGCTTTGTAAGAGTTATGCTTCCTAACTGCCTAATACTGCTTATTCCATTTTAATTATTGGTAGATGGCCTCCATGTTATGTAAGTTGATGCCGGGAGGTAGAATGTCCCAAGAGGCTAGAATTTATTTACCTATGCGGTGCTAGTGAAATGATATGACGTATAAAGGGATATCTCTCTATCCGGGGTATTTGTCAGTTGGGGTCGTTGGTGGGGTGTGGATTCATTTATGGAAAATCGAAGTTTATTGTTGTAATGAAGACAAAGTATATATAAAACGTCTTGTTCTTCAGCACTTCACTTAGTACCTAACATTGAGATCTCACTTTAGGTTGAGGTCTATATTGATTAAACGCCTAATGGCGTTCCGGCCGATATGGAATCGAATCAAACGTGATCACCAACGTGCTGGCAGGTTCGGCTACCGCCTATTCGCTTTCGCAACATGGATTCCTGTGGTTTCTATGTTCAACCACTATATTGGGGAACTAGCTTGGATTAACGGGCCGTCAATGTATCCGTTTTTGAATGCGGAAAAGGATCAGACGACTCGGAGTGATGTGGTGATCAAGTATAAGTTGAATGCGCCGTATGGGCTGCGGCGAGGCATGATTGTCATTTTCTGGTATGATTTTACAATGGCAAGTCTGAGTCCCCGCGATGCTAACACCAGCTCTAGGAACCCCTATGATCCAGAGGTTGAGGCTGTTAAGAGGATTGTAGGACTCGAAGGCGATATCATAAGGACGCGAAGTCCGTATCCCTCTCCTACCGTCCGCGTGCCAATGGGGCATGTCTGGGTTGAGGGTGACGGAGGCGAGCGCTTGAGCAGGGACAGCAACGATTATGGACCAATTTCGACAAATCTCATAACTGGCAAGGTCACTCACGTCGTGTGGCCCCTACATAGATTCGGTAGAGTTAAGTGGTGGGAATATGCAGGGAATATCAGGGATTAAACAACGAAATAATGAGAGGTACTTACTCATTGACGGCTTTCTAATTCGGTTCGTCGAGTCTCTACGTAACGAAGCTTTTACTAATCAAGATAGTAGTTACCTCCAACCGTGTCACATGTGTGATGCCAACTAATTGCTAGTATGCAGATAACCCTAAGATGTTGTAATCCGACCTCCCGGTCTACCGGTACACATAGATAAGAGATAAGGTAAAGCCGGATAAGACACCCACCAACTCGGGCGCGAGGCCCGTGATAAACCGCGCGTAAACCGATAAGGTCGATTAGGTACAATTTAGTGCTATTAGTACATAGAAAATTTCCCACCATCTATCTACTCTTATTCGGATTCAACGTTCAGTAGGTGATCGCTTTCGAGCGCGATCGCCTCTCACACAACACTAAGTCTCGAAAGATTTACATAGATAGACGGCGTCTATGAGCGAATAAATCTCGGTTTTTCTAGTAGCGTTGCTGGTTTGGCCGAACGACCCATTTCTTTTAAATAGTTACTGATACCAATGATGGACTTTCGGAACACAAATCTTTGGAGTAAATTATCACTTTTACGACGCAGTCGCGCGGGCATAAGATGACCTTCGACAATGGCGAATTGGAAGGGCGCCCACCCTATATCCACGTGAGTACTTCCATCGCATGCGCGCAAGATTGTCTATACTAAATTCTTTCATGTTCGCAGTCCATGCTCGCGGGAGGGTTTGGTGGAACTACTGGTGATATGCTGATGCACTCGCTCGATACCGTCAAAACTCGACAACAAGGTGATCCGCACATGCCACCTAAATATACATCTTTAGGATCATCTTATTATACAATATGGCGCCAGGAGGGAATTCGACGTGGGTTATATGGAGGATGGCTTCCAGCGATGATGGGCTCTTTCCCCGGCACAGTTCTCTTCTTTGGTACCTATGAATGGAGCAAGCGGCATATGCTAGACTATGGAATCCAGTCTCATATCTCGTATTTAATAGCTGGTATGCATTAAGGTCACCCTTGGCGAAGCTTTTCCTAAACCATATTGACAAATTTTCAGGGTTTCTCGGCGACTTCGCTGCATCAATAGTCTACGTACCCTCCGAGGTGTTGAAGACTCGCCTTCAGCTTCAGGGCCGGTATAACAACCCTTATTTCAAGTCCGGATACAACTATCGCGGTACTTTCGACGCTGCGAGAACAATCGTCAGAACAGAGGGAATTGGGGAATTGTTCTCTGGATATAAGGCAACTCTATATCGAGACCTCCCATTTTCCGCCTTGCAGTTCATGTTCTACGAGCAATTTCAAAGCTGGGCCCGTGAATATAAGAAGAGCCGAGATATTGGAGTACGGTTGGAACTACTGACCGGAGCTGCCGGTGGTGGGTTAGCTGGAGTGCTCACCTGTCCACTCGACGTAGTGAAGACCCGGCTACAAACCCAGGTCGATCCCGTTCCAGTTGTAAGCCCACTGAAGGGGCGCTCGATTCCAGAGACTACGTCGGGACTTAAAGAGTCGGCTCCAAAACAGACAAAACAGACACAACCCCCACCTCAACCCAAACAGCAAAAGCGCCCCATATCTACATCATCACCCTCGACACATACACCGCGACCTGGTGCTATTCCATTAGACGAGACTTCGATAATTAAGGGGCTCAAGCTAATTTATAAGACAGAAGGTGTTGGTGGATGGTTTAGAGGGGTTGGCCCGCGGTTTGTCTGGACTAGCGTACAAAGCAGTTGCATGTTATTTTTGTATCAAACCATATTACGAAAATTAGAGGTATGGCTTCCGGTAGAAAGATCAGACATGTCTGCTTAACTTAACCTTTATGACGAGGGGGGCGTTGGATCCTGTGTCGGTGGAGGGTGGAGGGTTTAAGCGTATTGTAACAACAACCCGGAACGAGTGCACGGCGTTCAAGGAAGATAGGGGCACGAGGAAAACAATAGACGGATAGATAGAAATCTCAATTTTATTTGATCGTAAAATATCTTAAAATATCTTGAATTACCTGTATTTGAACGTGTGAGATGGGATTGCTTGTGATGAATTCATATAATTGCATATGCATAGAAACAGAATTTATTATCTGGTAAAGTTCCCAATGTGAAGAATGATAGGTAGGTATTCTGCTAGGCGGGGGTTCCGGGGCCCACTGTTTGTAGCTAGGTACATAGGTACCTAACCTTTGTTGAAGTTGACCCACGTCAATCATAGCACTTATCAAATCATGGCACCATCAACCATCAAATGATTCCTCAAGACCACAAACTACAACCTCAGGCGCCTAGCATTTACACCTTATACTTATGAGCCTCCAGCTTAATAATGCTATGGATTAACATATAAACCACTTTTCCGACATGGCAGCACACGCTTCGCAAATATGCCACCCCCGTTGCCTATCCCGTCGAAGGCTGCGATCCACGCCCTCCGAGGGATTGCCCTGGGTACCTCATGCGCAATCGGTGTTATAGTCGAAGATCGAAGGCGGCGAATCAGCACCTTGAAGACCGCCGTATCGAATAAGGAGAAACTGAAGTCGGTTAAAAGATATCATCATGGCATGGCAGTTCCATCTCCGGTACAGTTCGACGAAGCAACTTTCATAGACGGGGATCAATTCCAATGGCATCAAGTGGAAGATGATATAGCCAGGACAGACGATGGTCCTCGGCCCAGACCCCGTCCTCGACAACATTCATCCGAGGATGGTTCTCCAGAAGCAAAGCCTTCAGCACCTTTGAAATCAGGAGACATCTTGGAATCTTCGTCGATAACCACTACACAAACCGAAACATCACCCCCCAAACTCTTACAACATGGCGCAGTCCACCCTTTAGATAGCGCCCCACGACTAGCAGGGTTCCCAGAAATGGAATTCGATGCTCATAAGACTTGGGGAATATATCAACCTACGAGTCCTACGAGTCCTACGCCGATTATTAAATCTCGTTTAAATAAGCGCGCCCAAGCAGTCGCAAACATAACCAGTATTCTGGGTAGTAAAGATGAAGAAAGATTAGATCGAGCTCTTAAGAAATTCTCCGAGGCATGCCTTTCATGTTATTCTCAACACTTGGACGAGGAATGGATTGCTCTTTCTATTCGACTTTCTAAAGATTGTCATGCAAAAGGCCGCTTAGAAGACGCGGCTAAGCTCCTCATTTCACTAACCAGCGCCGGCCCCCTCGAGGAGTCCCAATACTACGCCCATCAGCCTATACTTCTAATAAATCATTACTTACGCCAGGCAGATGAGAATGGGCACCTTCCCGAGGAAGCCATATCTGCGGCGACTCGCATCTTCCTAGCGGAATTTAAAGAAAAACCCCAAGTGCATTTTGAGGAATTGGATGATTTTGGAAAGCATCTGATGGCCCAAAATCTCATATCGGGTGAATTTCGCGCCGCCCATAACATTTACTGGAGAGTAATCGGTGTTGCTAAAGATGCAGCCGAATTTATAGGGTGGGCTATAGAAAAGCTTCACGAACACCGTGACCACAAGAGTGTACTCAAATACTTCTTATTGAATTACTCAAAGACGAGTCCCGATATCAGGTCCTACCACGCAACGGTCGATTGTGCCGTCTCCTCCGTCGAGGCTCTGAAGGGTTTGAAAGCTGAGCACGTAATCGACGCTATCTATCGGATGGGTTGCCCAGACGAAGATTTTATACAAACTCGCTGGGTCATGAAATTGCTACAAGCACATTGGGATCGGAACCAGGATTTTCCAACATTGAAGGCGCTCTTTGACGGGATGTTGTCTCTGGGGCTGCTAGACAAAGTCACACATCCGCAGGGAGTTTACCGTACAATCGTTGAATTGTCGATCAAGGCTGAAGAGTACGATTTAGCAAGGTCATACTACGAAGAGCTTCTTGGGAAGTATCCCGAGATGGCCTCAGACGTTGCCTTGAGAGGTCATATGACTTTGCCAATGGCCAAAGCTGGAGACTGGGACGGCGTGTTCAATGCTTTCGTCGAGATGCAAGCTCTAAAAGATGGGCAAGAAACCCGATATGACAACGCCTTCGTCTCAATCTTGAAAATATTTTCGGAGAGTCATCCAGCTGCCGAGGTCCGCGAACTAGTATCGAAGTATACCAGCGTTCTAGGGGTACGCATGCATCGGTATCTTGTCACGATAGTAGCAAATAAATACGGCCAATGCCGCGACGCGGAAGGCTTCGTGTCGTGGCTACGATACTGCGGCGAAGTTGGATTCGCTTTGGATTCAAGTTTCTGTAATTCACTCCTTCATAACTGCCGGACTAAATGGGCTATGCCCTACCACGAACTACGAGCCCTTTGTTCCGAATTCAAAAAGATCGATGCGTCCCTCGTCGACAACACGACGCAACGTATCTTGAGTCAAGCAGCGCTAAGGGCCGGCAAAACCGCCAGGGATGGTGGAGTCAACCGAGCATTGTACCCATCTCATATTGCAGTGGATAAGTTCGCATACGCTGGGAAGACAGCCGATAGGCGAGACATCTACGAAGCAATGAATCAAGAAATAAGCAATAACAAGCCGGCAACGGCAGTTTCGATCTACCAGCGTGCCATAAAATTTGGGATGCCCCCTTGTCCGCACTGCCTTCGCCTAGCTATATTAGCGACGCTGAAGAGCAGCAATAATGCCTCTGCTTCTGCGATGAAGTTGATTCATTTTGCACACAGACGCGGTGAAGATGTGACCTCAGCAGTGTCGGTATTCATCAAATATCAGCTCGATAACCTTCAGGCGGGGTCAGCGGAGGTTCTGCTTCACATGCGGAATCTGATTACTCAATTCGAAGCACTACATATCATTATCGCTCCAGACGTGCTCACCCACATGGCCATGTTCTGCGTCAAGTTAGGCCACTACGAAAAGGCGGTTTCGCTATGCAACCTGGCAGTGGACAAGAGCGGGACTGGGAATCAATGCTTCTCAAGGCAGTGCTTCAGGGTATTACTTATGTCCTACCCGAAGCTACTGGATTTGAAAGGGATAGAGCGACTGATCGAGGATTTACTCAAAAGCGAGTATGACGCGGACGGAGCTGTATATCTGTATCTGAAGGCGACTACGAGACTGATCAAGAAAATGGACCCCGATCCCACCGTCGATGCTATAGTAAATGTTCTAGAGCATGCTAAGGAGGAGATGGCGAGACGGCGGGGAGAGACCAGGGAGGGGGGTCGGTATATCGCCAAAGAGGTTCTTAAAATCATGAACGAAGCGTTAGCAGATATGCTGGCGTCAGAAAGTGGCAAGGATCTGGAAAGGCAGCAGTGGCAGTAAGCCTTACGATAAGGTAGGCGGTCCTTTAGAGTAGCCACCGTGTGGTGTTGCGTATTATTTGTATATATCCCGCTATACATCCCCGGGTAGCTACCTGGTTATTGGTTGTACAGGATATCATTGATACATATACATATATATTATATAGGTATTGTCTATTTGCCGTGTGGTGTTGCGTATCATCTGTATATATTCCCGGGCAACTACCTTAGGTAGTTATTTGTTATACAGGATATCTTTGCAACATGCATATATATATTGCCCATTCGCCATGTTAGTTTTTAGTTGAATTTCAACTCGACAACCACTTCAACGCACCATCCCTTACGTTGGAAGACTACGTAATGCATATTATCAAGGTGCGTAGTATACATAACTTGAATTCTACTCATCGGAGTTGCGTAGATAAGACAAGAACTTCCATTGGGTCCTAATCCTCCATGTTTCTCTAGGAGTTAATGAAGAACGGAGAACGGAGTATTTTGGCAATACAGTCTAACCAACTTACTGCAATAAAGTAGGTTAGGTCAGGTAAAGGATTATCAACCTCGTAGTGTTGCTTCACCTGTGAAAGTACTAAGTACGGATTAATGTACCTACATAGGTACCTAAGTATTAAACTACTAATATCTTCCCATTGGACAATTGACTGTGGGGATATGTGGATCATCGACTTGACTAACACCATCCTAGCAAGTTCCAACAATTTGGCTTTCGGGCTTGGCAAGCATGTGCCAGCCAGGAACAAGACCAAAAGAGAACAAGAGGAAAAAAAAAAAAAAGAGAGAAAGATCCGCGAATCTTTAGAATCGCGTGGTGAACCGATAAGGGGGCAGAAAATGAATATCACTATAGATGGGACGATTCGTCGAACCATCATGATCTGAGACAATCGATTTATTTAGGGTTTATCTTTATTCACCACCATTTTCCAATTCTACATCTCGACCCTTTTCGCTTTAGCTCCAACGACCCCTAATTATTACCTATTAGGTATTATTCTAGTCGTGTGGTTCCGTTACACGGGTGACTAACTACCTCCTACCTACCTCCTAGAGGTATTCTAATATTTAAATAAATATTCAAGTCAAGTCCCATCCGGTCTCTCTTTCTATTACAGAACATTTCTTAGAACCTTATACCTTATCACTTATACCTTATACCCTATACTTAATTTATCACGATACCCACACATCAAGACAAGACAAGACAAGACCGTCTCACCGACAAGACAATCTTTTACCATTGACCTCTATTCTGCTATTATACATTATACAGTTTTAATAACACACACTCCGCCTCCGAGTTAACACTTCCTCCCCCGCCGTTCCCTATGAGCGAAACTACAGTCGTCGTAGAAACGCTCGCAGAGCGACGAGCTAGACACCACGAGGCCGATGTCGTAATAGTCGGTGCCGGCGTCTTCGGGTGCGCCGCTGCATATGCTCTAGCCGAGCAGGGCAGGAGTGTTATCCTCCTCGAGAGATGGTTGAAAGAGCCCAACCGAATCGTCGGCGAGTTGATGCAGCCAGGCGGTGTAAACTCTCTCCGGAAGCTGGGCTTAGGTCACACCATCGACGACATCGACGGCCAGCCGTGCCACGGCTTCAACGTCTTCTTCTACGGCAAAGACGTCCGCATGCCCTACCCGAGGATACAAGGTCTGCTCGGTCTAGGCGGAGACGAGAAGGCAAACGGGAACGGTAACGCAAAGGTGAAGAGCGACGAGCCGCCGCGGCCCCAGGGACGAAGCTTTCACCACGGCCGCTTCATCTCACAGTTACGCAAGGCCTGTCTCAGCCACCCCAACATCAGCGTATTCGAGACAGAAGCCGTAGACACCGTCAAGGGCGACCACAACCCAGAAATCCTGGGCGTCGAGACGCGAACCGTCAATGCCACCACCGGCGAGAAAGAGCCCGACTACTTCTTCGGACAATTAACTATCATCGCCGACGGCTACGCCTCTCGCTTCCGCAAGCAATACATCAACGAAACTCCGATAGTCCGCAGCAAGTTCTACGCCCTCGAACTCATCGACTGCCAACTCCCCAGCCCCGGCTACGGCCACGTCATCATCGGCGCCCCTAGTCCAGTCCTCATCTACCAGATCGGCACCCACGAGACCCGCATCCTAGTCGACGTCCCCGAGAAACTCCCCGACGCAGCCCCGGCCAACGGCGGCGTCCGCGGATACATGTCCAAGGTCGTCCTGCCCGCCCTCCCCGCCTCCGTCCAACCCTCCTTCCAAGCCGCCCTCGACCGCGACTCCAAGATCCCGCAGAGCATGCCCAACAGCTGGCTCCCGCCCACCAAGCAATCCTCCACCCCGGGCCTGGTCATCCTCGGCGACGCGATGAACATGCGCCACCCGCTGACGGGCGGCGGCATGACGGTCGCCCTCAACGACGTCGTCCTCCTGCGCGACCTGCTCGCCGACATCCCGGACCTGTCGGACTGCGCGGCCGTCGCGCGCGCCATGGACACGTTCCACTGGCGCCGCAAGAAGCTGACCGCCATCATCAACGTGCTGGCCATGGCCCTGTACAGCCTGTTCTCGGCGCGCAACGAGGAGCTGGCCAAGCTGCAGCGCGGGTGCTTCGCGTACTTCGAGCGCGGCGTCACGCGCGAGCCGATGGGCATGCTGGGCGGGCTGATACCGGACCCGCTGGTGCTGGCGTACCACTTCTTCTCGGTGGCGTTCGTGGCCATCTGGCTGGATTGGAAGGCGACGGGGCTCTGGAAGGTGCCGCTGCTGCTTTGGAATGCGTTTTGGATCCTGTGGACGGCTAGTCGGGTGTTTTTGCCCGTCATGTATCGGGAGGCGTTTGTGTAGATGGATGGATGGGTGTTGATAATGCATGCATGGCCAGATGTTAACGCGACGATGGTTCGAAGAGGGACTTTTGGTCTTGGTATACCCTGAAGAAGAAGAAGTAGGAACGTGGACTTGGACTTGGACTTTGAGGTCCGCTTTCGAGTGATTATGAGAAAGAGGGGGTGTGTTTGCCTTAGACGATGATAACATACATACATACATGCATACATGCGTCTCTGCTCGGTATATCTGGGCTCGATACCAGTCGCCCAGCGAAGAAGAAGAGAAAGAGACAGACACGAGAGGAAAATGAAGATTAGATGTACGGCTTAACGGATATATATATCAGTATTTAATTCTAATGATTCAAATGAGATTGACTGACAAGACTAGACTGTTGTTTAGTGGTTTGCTTGTGAGATGATAGGTATGATGCATTTGGTTGTTTTAAGTCAGCGAGCGTGATTCTACTTATGATATACTACCTCTGCCTCGTCTTACTATAATACTGCTAAGTGTAGGCATATATACACGTATAAGCATATAAAAGTCTTGATGTTCTGCTTAATAAGTCTTCGATGGGCACTCAAAAGTAAAGATGGCAATCATCACATCGCAGCTCACATGGCCGTTCATACCCCAAAGCAAGTAACTAGGATAAGTCAAGGCGGAACTTTTCTCTATTCGTTCCACCGGATGTATGTCTACCATGCAATATGTAGTAAAATCAAACGCCATGCAGTATAATTTGACTGCGCTGGTTTTATATAAACCAGCATGGGCTAATCCATAGCCAGCCTTACCACTCTTTATTCTAATCATTTTGTGCACCTCCCCCTTCCTCTACGTCTCCCTCCTCCCCCTTTGAGCAGCGTCCTACGTCAGCCGTCGCCGGTACACGCCCATCATCCAGCTGGCCCTTAGCACGGCGAGGCCAATAGCCATCTTAACGCTATCTTGTATAACGTTAAGCTTGCTCCCGCCGACCTCGTGCCAGTCGATCGGGACCTCGGCGACCTTGATGCCGGGGCTGCTGCCAATAACAGCGCCGTCGCTGCCGAGCACCGGGACGGCAGGCGCCGACTCGGCTAGCATGAGCATCTCGATGTCGAAGATCCAGCCCTCGGCGTGCATGTACGGCACGATATGGGGCAGGGCGGCGCGCGAGAACAGCTTGAAGCCGCACTGGGTATCCCGGATGCGCGAGGTGGCGGGCGGCGTTAGGATAGTCAGCACGAGGTGGAACGAGCGCATGAGGAAATTGCGCAGCGCGGATCTCTTGACGACGGCCTCGCTGCCGACCAAGTGGCCGCGGCTTCCGATCGCGACGCCCCGGTGGCTGCCGTCGACAACCTCCTCGCACCCCTCGACCAGCTTGCCCAGGTCGCTGAACTTGGACGCCCCGTCCGCGTCCGCGAAGAGCGCGTACTCGCCTCGTACGTGTCGCAGCCCGTGCGTCACGCCGCCGCCCTTGCCGCGGTTGCGCTCGAGCGTCACCACGCGCAGGATGTCGTGCAGCGCGTGCTTGCGCGCGAAGTCGAGCGCTACTTGGGCCGTGCGGTCCTTGCTGCCGTCGTCGACGACGATGATCTCGTATCCGGCTAGATCCTCGCGCGGCGCGTTCTTAACGTGTTTGTGAGTAGTCGGGGCGGGGGCTCGTTTGGGGAGAGTGTTGTTGTTGGACTTGTTGGGGCGAGGGTCCCGGCCGAATGTGGCGTCGAGGTATTCGACTGCTTCTTCCAAGGTCGGCAGGATGCGGTCTTCTTCGTTGTAGGCGGGGAAGACGACGCTCATGCGGACTTGGGCGGGCTCGATGGATCCGGTGTCGGCGATGTCGGGTAGGGTGGGATCGTCATTTTTGGCCTTGGCCTCGCTTGCGTGTCGGTCGGCTAGCCATCGGTCGTGCCAGCATGGAAGCTGCCGTCTTTCGGTGCCGGTGGGTGTTGTGGTGATATAAGTCTTCTCGGAAGGGAGGACGGCTCGGGGTTTGGGTGCGACGAGATGGAGTACGGCGTAGAGCTATATTGCTAAGTTAGCCAGCCTACTAAAGACATTCGTTGTATTATGTTCATTGTATTATGGTGGATAGGCGAGAATGGGATTCATACGCTGTAGAATGCAACAATGACCAATGCTGCAAAGGCTGCAAATAACGTATGCGGGGGGGTCTCCTTCAAGGTCGAGGTGAACAAGTTGAGCAGATCCATGGCTGCAATCCCCAGGCGCGACAGGAAGTTGAGCACGTGAAGGTGTTCACATTGGAGGTGCTTTTCCTGCTAGAGCTTCCCAGCGGGAGAAGGATTGAAGGATTGCGTGGTAAGATTATGTAGATGAACAATTGAGTGACGTATTGTTTGCATTAGCTAGCGTCACTTAATTGTCTTTTAAAGTTGCCCTCTCATCCATAAACTACCTAACATATGGAAGTCGCATATCGACAATTACACTACTAACACCTACAACTTTTAAAAGATTAAGAGGTAGCAGGTGCTATGTAGACGACGCGGCAGAAGAAGCCACGTCTCTAGGGCTAGCCAATTAGAGCTCTCGAATACCTCAGCTCTAGCAGTTCATCAGGGGATCTGCCGCTAATAAACTTAGTTATGTAGCCTGGTACATAGCTTACTTATTAAAGACCCTTAAAGATTGACGTCACATCTTCGTCTCTTTCTTTTAACCTAAACATCTCTCTCATTCGTCTTCGTCTATCAATTGACTTTACTTTACCTTTCAAACTTCCATTACAATTACATTTACAACTACAGTTACAATTATACGATGGGTAGGTCTATCGAGTACAACCATATCGATGCCTAAAGCCGCGGCTGCTGCGTATATGCTTGTTCCGGTTCCTCCATGGTCAGGACTAGAAATACCTCCGTCGACAATAGCCAATGTTTGACGTCTAGGCACCTGAGTTGACAGCCATGGGAGCGACAACCTATACCGCAGCTCGAGATCCAGAGAAGCTACCAGCGACTCAGGCTTTTCGGTTTGTTTCAAAAGCAATCCTCCCGCAGATGCTATAAAGGCATTAAGAAGCTGTTCTAAATTCCCAACGCTGATAGCTCCCCGTCGAAGAATTAGTGCGCCTTTGCGAAGCTGACAACGCTTCGCACCAACGGAGAGTCTAATAGTCGCAATGGGATGATATCAGATCGTACAATATATCCACGAGATAGTGGTACGAGCAACCTAGCGACACTTCCAGATTCATCGGCAGAAGCTAAGAGGCATTCGAGCACAAATCGGAACGCTGCTGTAGATCCGGCGGTAACCGCCGGCGGACAGCTCGATCAAGAGGTGAGTGTCTTGTACGTTCTCAGGCCACAAAAACTCGGGTGATTTGGAGACTTCTTTGAAGGATATGTCGATGGACTGCCAAGGTGTGAAATCTACCGTGCTGTCTGTGATGGTGGTGGTGCTGTGTGCTTGCCAGTTGTATTGGAATCTAACTATATCGATACATATCGTAAGAGTGAGATACTTCACAGCGAAAGGGCACATCCGCTTACCTTGGTGGTTATCTTCACGCTGAACAAGAATAGTGCCTGGCATCCCGTCTACTACGGCCAAGGAGATTTAGCTTAAGAAGCTCGAATATAAACTACGCGCCTTAGCGGTCCCTTAAGAGGATGTATATATGAAAAAATAGTTTAGAGTAGATACAAGTTAGTATATACAATGACTTTGGAATTGGCGATGTGATTATTCTTTTTAAACTTAAAACTATTAATATCTAACTAACCTAGTAGTTGTAACAACATTATAGGATTACTTAGGATTCGATGCCACGGCGGGGTATCTCTATGCACACTTCGTGTAAGTCGGCACGGGGCTCGGGACTCGGTGCTCGGGGCTGGTGGTTTATTTTCAATATAGGTAACTTAAAAGGGGGAAGGGGGTTTAAAACAGTCTAAAACTTATACTACTATAATCAACTTAGATATATTAGATGCTAGACGATCTCAACCTACATTGTAGAGCTATCTAATACTTAATTAAGCCAGTTCCTTGGGGGCGTCTCTGAGGCTCTCTGCCCATCAAGCCACCTGATTGGCAGATATCCTCCAATGACGAAACAATTAGCAATTATGAACATGCAATTCAAGTCACCATCCAGCGATAGAATAATAATTAGAGACACTTCCCTTAGGTGTTGTAAGTTTACTCACCCTTTACTTTGTACATATATATATTTATAGTCTCGCTCAGCTCCAAAAAAAAAAAAAAAAAAAAAAAAAAAAAAAAAAAAAAAGAAAAAAAGATTTGTGTAATTAAAAATACATAGAAAGACCGAGAAAAACACAACAAAAAAACAAAAAAACAAAAAAAAAAAATAACCCACA